TGATTATCCGAAACATTATACAATGAATAATGTGTAATCAATATGGTGACTAAATAAAAGGAGTTTTATTTATACTCAAAAGTTTGGGGCCATATTGGATTCGATTATTCTTGTGTTTCACTTTGCATGTTTTGACTTCCTGAATAATAAGATTATTCAAACGTTCCACAGTCGCTCATACTTTGGGAGTAGGTATGAAAGAAGATTGTCATGAATTGGTTTGTAGATTGTCTAAAGTGTATTAGCCATAACAAAAGTTTGCTGCAATGTTCATGAGTGCTTATGAATATGATTTGAGCATTGGATTAAACCCATGCTCACTTGGATCGCTTCATGGATTTTATCACGAGTGATTGGTGAGACGATAATATCTTATATTCTTGAAACCGTAACGTGTGAGTTGTAATTTACAAGTTGGTTGCACATTGATAATATGTAAATGCACCAGTAACTTGGTGTTATAAAACATATTGTTGTGTGTGATTTGATGAGTAGGAACAAACGAGCATTGAGTCGAAGTTTATCCGTTCCTTTTACCCAATGTGGGATAAAAGCGATATCTGTGGGCCCCTCGATGATTTAGTGATGACACGTACCTTAAGCGCTTGGCCAAGCCGTGACTAAGTTGATGTGTTCAATTGTAGTCTGATGTCAGTCGTCATAAATCGGAAGTCGGGAAACAACACATAGACTGAGAGAATGATTATAATCCATGTCTCATGTCTATACGATATCTAGAATGGAGGAATATATGATCCCTTATCTAAAGGACGCATTACTGATAAGATCAGAGTTCGACAGCGGCTTTTGAAAGCTACGATTGCTGATCAGGTTCCGAAGTCATACGCAATATAGTTATTAGACTTATCCAAGTGGGAGGCTGTTGGATTAGGTGTCTAAGCCCATAACTATTTTGGTATGTACTTGACCCGATTGTGAGCATGGTCCTTTTGGGTTGCCTTCACCATAGCAACTGATAGGATGAATTAAGGAGAAAGAGGATTAATTATGATTTATTAATATATTATATGAATAATATATTAAAAGAGAAATCATATTGTTTAATTAATATTAGTCAAAAATTAATTTTGTGGCTAAAAGAGATTAATTAAACTTAGGTGACTGGAATTGTAATTATAAGATAATTGCAATTGGGCTATGGATCACCTTGGAACATAGGTTAGACGAATTCTATGGGAAGCCCATAAGGAATTCGTCCAAGGGGTGTTCTAGAAGGAGTCTATGGGCTGCTTAGGGCCTAAGCAGTCAAATCAGGGTTTCCTAGTTGAAAACCCTAATAGCCTACCTATATAAGGAACCCCTAAGGCCCCAAAAACGCGGCTAACTCTTGGATAAAACCCTAGAATGTTTTTTGAGCCTCCTCCTCCTTCTCCTAAGTCATCTTGTTGCTCATGGTGTTTGTGACTCCATTAGAGGTGCAACATTTGAGGCACTAAGCTTTCAAAAGCAAGGATCTTCAAGTTTGAGTTGTTATTACCATATAGCAACAAAGGTATGTATTCTAATCTTTAATTTGTGTATTTCAAAATTATTAGATACATATTAGGGTTTTCTTTTGTGTTCATAAGTTGTATGTCTAATAGTGAAAACATAGATCCAAATTAGGGTTGCATGCACACATAGGATTGTTTGTATAAATCCCATCAATATTTTCCCGCTTACCACAGGTATAAAAGGCACCTTTCTACCCCATGAGAAATGACCAAGATCTAAAACCCTTTAACACTCTCCTTACGCTTTCAACCCCCTCTCTCTCTCTCTCTCTATCTATCTCTCGGACTCTCATTGACTTGATTGTCAGAGCCTCATTCTAAGACAATCTCCGGACGACGACTGACGATCTTATCTTCTTTGTTGTGATCCACAGGCTCTTCATTCCCACCATCGGAGAGACGGAGTAAAGGCGGTGACATATCACAACAATTATAGAAACCACATTCTTTTAAATGTCATTTTATATCTTTCCGTTAGCTTATCAACTAGTTTTACCAAATGTTATTTTTTATTAGCTGGCTTTTCAACTATCAACTAGCTTTTCATATGATAGTTAGCTTTTCGTCTATCAGGCATCAGCTAACTTTTCAGCCAACAACTGGCTTTCATGATACGCTAAACATAGCCTAATTATCCGAATCACAATTGATGGTTTATTTTAGTTTAACTTATTAAAACGATATAAATGATATAAGTATAATAACATAGATATCTATAATATCTATAAGATTGATAAAAACTTTTGTATATGTATCTAATTGAAAATAAAAATCATAATAATTGGACTTTTTATTTACCTTTTATTTTTTGTTTAACTTTGCAATACAATGTAGCAATTCACATTCATGGTGAATATTTTTCTTTCAATCAAATCTATTATAATTATAAAAAATTAAAAAAATTATTCGGGTTCGTTTAAATATAACATATGTTAAAGATGATTTTTGTCGGGGATCAATAGTTGAATACAAAACATAAAAAAGATAAAATCAAATAAAACGATGTATTTTGTACTAACAAATAAAGTACCATTGAATAATGTATCATATTCTTTTTCTTATAGTAAACATTTTATCGGACCATAAATTCTTTTTCTTATAGTAAACATTTTATCAGACCATAAATTAAATATATTAGTGAAAATAACATCGTTATTCCAAGGGATAATAATAATAATAATAATAATAATAATAATAATAATAATAAATCTATGTATTGGATTATTTCGGGATTGAACTTAGATTTTTTTTTAAAAACCCTTATATTTTTTCTATTTTTTCTGATTGAGCCCTTAACATTTTTTTTTTCAGTTTACCCATTGTATTTTCATTTTTTCGATTTAGCCCCTATATATTTTTTTCATTTTTCCAAATTAGCCTCAACTTTATTTATTTTTTCTAAAAAAAACTTATATATTTGTTATCTTGAAAGTTTTATTACATTCGTTTCCATAATTTCATGGCATATGTAAGGATGGCAACAAACTCCATATCCGATGGGGAATTCAAAACCTGCACCCGTTTTGACTGAAGAATCTCCGAGTTGACCGGGGATGGGGAATCCCCAAATAAAAAAGTGGGGATGGGATGGGGATGGGGATATCCCTAATCCCCGACCTGGACCCGCCCCAGATATATATATATATATATATATATATATATATATATATATATATATAATAAAATACATATATTTACAGTACAATTTACAATACATAAAATTTGATCAAAGTAATATAACTCATTAGCAATTACTTTGTTGAAATTATACTTTTTCTTTTTCTTTTATCTAATTTAAACTCATGTATAATTTTTTTCTATTTGGTTTATCTATTTTACCTCAAATATCACTATGATAATTTTTTTTCACGTTATTTTTCATGTATTTATTTAAATCTGGTAGAAAATTAGTTTATATTTTTTATGCAATCTATGAATATTTTTATATTTTTGTAAATTCTGTAAACTTATGCTGGTAAAATTGAAATTTAGAGTTTTTATTTATGTAATATTTTTCATATTAAAAGAGGAAAAGAAATCTCTGATTCCCCGCTAGGGATCCCCAGTCTCCGTTAGAGGTGGGGATATGGGTTTATTTATATTCCCCGATGGGGACGAGGATGAGGATGGGGATTGCAATGAGAATTCAGGGATGGGGATTGGGGTCCCTTGTATTCCCCGCCCCCGTTGCCATCTCTAGGCATATGCTCTCAGCTTCAAGATGTTTTAGAGTAAATCTAGAAAGATTGTGTTGTAACTCCATTGTTTGACGATTGTATACATTTCTCTTCTATGTGGCATCATCAATGTGGTGAAGAACGTTTTAGGGCATGTAACCATTTAGAAAAGTTCAACCCAAGAGATGTAACAATCATTTGTGTGATCAATAGTTATTCTCATTAGGAGCAATAAGGGTTAAATGATGGAAGAAGAACAAGCCATCCCCTCTTCCTCTTCTCGCCAACGGATGTTATCCTTCATCTCTTTTTGTCTTTCTCATCTTCCGTCATAAAACCATATAACTCCTTAATGAGAATAAAAAAGTAAACAATAACAACTTTTATCATTCATTTGCCATAACCAACATAAAAAAAAACTCAATATAGATAACCATTGATTAAACTGATAATTTGTGCATCTTGGGTTAAACATTTTCATATCATTACAACAACTTACAATGTTCTTGACCAATCGTCAACCAATTGACTTACAAGACCACCTCTTTTGAATTATGTAAATGGATGCAAGAAATATTCCAAGATAACAAAGACGAAAGAGTTTTTTTTCGGAAAAAAAAAAGTTGAGGTTTAATCCGAAAAAAATGAAAAAATGTAAGGGATAAATCGACAAAAAAATGAAAATGTAAGGGGAAATCGAAAAAATATAAATTGTATAGGCTAAATCCGAGAAAAAAATAAAAGAGTTTTCAGTAAAAAAATTTGAACTTTAATCCGAAAAAAACCTAATGCATATGGGTTTTATTATTTATTTATTTATTTATTTATTTGTGATTAACTCTATTTTGAGCTTCAAACTTCAAATTAGTCATAAAGATCAAATATTCATATGAGCATCATTATAGGTCATCATCCCACATGACTAGAAAATGAAAGTATATATCGCAATCAAAACACCCCGATACCATTTAAAATTGTACACCTGTTTTGTAAAACGAATTGTCATTTCATCGATAAACACGGCATCTTTTCTTTTGCGAACATTAACCCGAAATAGAACATCATTTGTTCTGTGAACATTAACCCGAAATAGAACTATATATTGAAAGTTGAAACCTGACATGTGAAGGCATAAAGATGGATGGATACATGTGGTGCGTCGGCCGATAAATATAACACAAATTCTACAATCTATATACTTGCACACGTACCTTGAACGTTTTCTCATTGTATACTTAGCTAATCATTATTATTTTTTGAATGCTTTACAATTACGTATATTTGAATTGAGTTGCATGTCCTACCATTCATGCATCTTGTACGTACGGCTCCAAAGGTTTTACTATGCAAAATTAATTAGGATACTCACCATTTGTCTCAAGCTAAGCCAAATAAGAAACAAATTATAAACCCATAACAACGAATCTCATTATTAAAGATATCTAAAACAAAAGTCTCAAGTTATTTATCATTTATGAAAATTTGGTGTGGCAATGATTTTATTTTTGTTTTATGTACATGTTTTAAAAATAACTTTAAATTAGGCAGATACATATGTTTGTAATTATTAGCGTTTATTGAAAACCAAAATCAAGAATATATATATATATTATTATATAAAGCGTTTCTTAAAAATTAAGAGGTACAACTATTATAATTCCATGTATAATCTTATTAAGCTTGTATACACTACGCATCTCATTTGTAACTTATTACGGTCTTAGATTTCGGAGAACCCTAAAATCCTCTAAAGCTCTTCAGCCTCCGTTTCTCCCAAATCTCCTACGTCTCATTCCTTACTCTCTTCGATCTCCGGCAGGCCTCCGTAACCACCAGCCTCCTGACGCCGTCGCTACGTCCACCCTCCTGATGTCGTCGTTACCTCCTAGACCTTCTATCGGTAAGTTGATGTCCCTCCCCACCTATTTTCTTGTATCTGCGTGGGTTTCCTTTGCTCGATTTGAGTTTTGGGAACCTCTATTTCCTATTTGTGAGGTTGTATGTGTTGCGGGTTTCCATTCACTTTTTGACGGAAGAGCTGACTGGTGGTGCAGAAACACCATACCGCTGGTGAGTTCATGAAACGTCATCCCTTTATTTCTGCTTCTTCATTGGATTTTATTCAGATGCATCGAATCTGTAACTTAAGTGATGTAAATTGGTGCAGGCCCTGTTTTGTGGGTTTTATTTTATCTACTTTATTTGGGAGCTGGTCGTTTTTTCCTCTCTCGTTTGTAAAGATTGGGGCTTCTTCTAGTTGATTCGTACACAACCATTGAGATAGATGTGCTCAATTCTTCATTTATGTTATAGATTCATGAGTTTTCGGGAAGTGACTCTAATATTCATTTTGTTTCTTCCTGAGAATATTGCACTCCACCTGTTTGTTGTTATGCCTATGAGATCATTCAACTTTTTCGTATAATAGTTTCATGTGGCAAACTTATTTCCTGTTAATGATTCTGTATATGAGCTCCGTAGCTATATGTATGCAACTATAGGTCTATCTCTGATAGAACTCAAGAACGATCCATGATAATATGATTACTATATGTGGTAGCTGCTAAATTTTAATTTAAGTATCTAATTCCTATCAGAGTCTAAGGCAAACAGCATTGCTAATCTCCTCATCGTAGCTGATATCTCTATTATATTGCTTTATAAGTGAAGCTTCTTACAACTATATGTGTTCCGTATGTGTTATTTGTATTTTTAAAGGAATGAAATATATTTACAGGGAAATGCTCAAAAACTGGTTTGGAAATTAATTATTGTAGAGTAATGGGAATGTGGTGATATCTTCAACTTTATGTGTGTCTACGTAAGGTTGTAACCCAAGGGAAGGCAAAGGAAGGGATCTGCCACTCAGGTGGTAGAAGGAACGAAGTGGAAAAGAGGAAGAGAGGGGTGGGTGGTGTTGTTTTGTACTGGTCTTCAAGTTCTAATAGGTTTGAATTTCCTTTTTTTGGCTTTTATGATCAACATGTTCACGTATATATATATTTTTGTATTTGAGTTCTCACAGGTTTGGGTTTTATTTATGCTTGTATTTTATGGGGTGGAATACATGGCCTTGATTGGCTTGGCCTTGATTCACGTATATATATATTTTTGTATTTTAATTACTTTACAGTAGCATGTGGTATTAAGAATAATTCAAAGTAGAATGTTAATGATAAAAAATCCATGAAAGTATGTTACTATTAGTTGCAGTTAACACTGATCTCTTTTTTGTGATGTTGAATAATCGTTATTTCTTTTGTTAGGTGTGCTGGTACAGAAAAAGATTACACAGAAAAAGGGTATTTTGTTTTGAGTCTGACTTGGTACTACTACTCCAAGACAAACTAGGAGGGTTCATAATTTACATGTGTATTGTTTGTAAACGTTTCAATTGTTTCCTGCTTTTACCTTTTTAATGCCCACTATTTTTTAAAATGTTCTACCGTTTAAATTATAAATATTTTAAATTAATATTTACCTTTAATTCGTAAAGTAGGTAAATTTCGTAAATTTATTATTTTTGTTTGGTATGCATTTCGATTGCCCCTATTTTTGACATTAGGAATTTGTGAATTTTCATATTTAGCAATATTAAAACATATTTGACACTTTTAAATAAATGTTTTTCATAACTCTGAATGTTTATTTAAACCCGGCAACATATTAACATTTATGGAGGCTACTTTTAACAATTTAAATTAACTAGATGTCTAAAATGTAAACTGATTTTTCATTTGAATTAAACTTTGTTTTCGAAAAGAACAACGTTATTAACGTTTATGGAGGCTACTTTTAACAATTTATTGCAATATGTCCGAAAATGTTCAAGATTTTTATTTATTAATTTTATCTAAATTGCTGATAATACTAAGACGTCAAGAAGTATGATGTTTTCACTTTAATATATTGATTAGTAAACGTTAGAAATGTAAGAATAACTAAGTCTTACAGAACAACAAAATACAATTTTATTTTCATAGATTTCTTAATAATTCACATTCAAATGTAAACGTATATTTATTAAACAAACAATATGTATGTTTATTTTTAATTAAAAACAACAATGTTGGATATAAATATATTTTCATACTAATTAATATTTATCAATACATTACATATTTTCATACTAATTAATATTTACTAATACATTACATGTTCTTTGTAATACGGATGTAACCGGTTCAAAAAACGGATCGAAATTGATATAACCGAAAACTGATAAAAGAATGAACGAGAAACCGAGAACCAGACCGAATACAACTAACCGGTTTCGGTTCGATTCAACTATAACATATGCAATCTATTAAATGTGTTTGGTATTGAAAGAAGAACCGACCCGAACTTGATAGAAACCAAAAAGAATTGATAAACCAAAAACCTACAGCCAACTAGAAACTATTTGCCGAAAAAAACTATTCGCCGCCGCCGCATCGCGCGGATCCACGACTAGTATATATATATATAGATATATATATATATATATATATATATATATATATATATATATATATATATATGAGAGCGTTCAATCGATAACATTTTTTATCGCGAGAACATTTGAGAACAAATTTGGACCAAACAATTTTTTTAATTAAAATTATAAAATAATATTCATATAAATCAAAAAATAGTTACAAACAATTAAAAAAACCCACTAACTAACACCACACACCACCCAACTAACACCACCCACCACCACCACCCACCACCCATCACTACCCACCACCCCACCCCCCACCACAACCCACCACCCCCCACCACCATCACCACCCAACCACGACCACCTGCCACCACCACCCACCTCCACCGCTTGCCACCACTACCTACCACCATCACCACCACATGCCACCACCACCCATTACTACCCACTATCCGCCACCACCACCCATCACTAACCACAACCACCACCACCAACCACCACCCATCACTACCTACCCACCACCACTACCACCAACCACCACCCGCCACCACCATCACCACCCAACCACCACAGCCCGCCACCACCACCCACCTCCACCACTACCCGCCACCACCATCACCACCAACCACCACCCATCACTACCCACCACCCACCACCACCACCACCCGCCACCACCATCACCACCCAACCACCAACACCCGCCACCCACCCCCACCACCCATCACCACCGCCTTCCACCACCACCCACCACCACCACCCATCACTACCCACCACTACCAACCACTACCCACCCCCCCACCACCACCCGCCACCCGCCACCACAACCACCACCCGCCACCACCACCACCCACCACCTACCCACCACAACCACCACCACCACCAACCACCACCTGCCACCACCATCACCATCCACCATCACCACCACCCGCCACCACCACCTACACCCACCCACCACCCACCAAAACCACAACCCATCACTATCACCACCACCCATCATTATTACCACCACTTGCAACCACCCATCGTGTATTAGATATAGAGAGAGAGAGAGAGGTGGATTCAACACATAACCAAAAAATACCACCTAACCACATAACCACTTGTATTACTGTTTGATTAAAATCATGACAAAAGGATATGATGGTCTAAAAATTTAATGTCCATTTATGAATATATGTTCATAAATGAAAATAAGGTCGATGTTTACAATAAGCTAATCTTTACAATAAGCTAGTTAAAAAACTTGTATGCGTAAGATATGCAAATCACTGAAAATTGATTATAATCTACAATATATCAAAAATTGATAATCCACAAAAATCTCAAAAATCAATTTTAATCTACAAAAAACCTAAATGTTTATATAACCCCTTCAAGCAAACCCATAACTTGATGCACATGTTCATCTATGGACATATGTTCAAAAATGAACATGTGTAATATTTATCATCTTCTCAAGTTTGTGAAATGGTTTAAATCATAATCCCTTGTGCTGAATCATAATCCGTTCATATAAGGGAGGGAAGGTAGGGCAATAATTTCATATATGAATATATGTTCATAAATGAACATAAATTCATATAGGTTCATATCAAATGTAATATCCTTGATCACCATTGCCATGTCCATTCTGCACACATATATTGTTCATTGCCACCGTCATTTTTAATATACATTGACACCCCAACACCCAACTGCTCTTCTTCGCACAATAAAATTTCACATCAACAAAACTTGTTTTTCTATCTGAAATTCAGGAAATAAGATATGCAAATCAGGAAAAGTTGATTCTAATCCATGAAAATTTCAAACAACTAAAACAAAAATAAGAGGAAATAATCGAACTAGAATCAACCAAATGCACTTTATGTTCACATATGAACATATGTTCATAAATGAACATATATTCATAATTGAATATATGTTTATATAAGAGTTGTAATTCCAGTAATTAAGAAGAAATGAGGGAAAGTTGATTATAATCCATAAAATTTCAAACAATTATAACACAATCGAGAGGAAATGATCGAACTAGAATCAATCAAATGCACTTTATGTTCATATATGAACATATGTTCATATATGGACATATACACTCAAAGAGGGTGTAACATTCCGTTTAAATATGAAATAAATAAAATAAAATAAGTTAAAATAAGTAAATAAATAAATAAGGATAATAATAAATAAATATAAATAAATAAATAAATAATAAGCCCTAAAACCCCGATATGTATTTTATATTTTATTTTATTTTAACCCTAAATTCGTAGTAATTTATCAGAGTGTTAGCCGTACGGAGTTAAATGTTGAAATTTAATTATGGAATTTGGAGTCTATTTTGTAACAATTGGACCTGAATTCTAAATAATTGTGTGAAGCAGGGGCTATTTGGTAACTAGTGGATTTGATTTGAAATGAATAGGGAAGGAGGGACTTAAAAAGGAAAATGGACATAAGTTGAAAGGACAGGCGGGACTCAAACCCGTCATCCGTCCCTTGCCTCTCATTTAAACCCCACGCTCCAAAACCCTAACCCTAACAATCTCTCAGCCGTCACCCTTATTCCTTCCAGCCGCCACCACTCCCTTGACGACATCATCAACCACCGAAGCCAACCACCGTAACTATCCTACTGCCGGCAACGACTAGCGTAGTTAGGGGGGAGCTTTCGAGACCAAAGATGACTGTGAACGACTGCCGCCACCATTCCTCCGCCACTTCTTCTTTTCTGTCGCCATCCGCATCCGCCACCGCTGCTCGACGACTCTCCTTTCGCTGCTCCGGTCAACGTCACTACTCCGAGGGAGGCTATTGGGTGCGTTTTGGCGTGTGTGTCGCATGTGTGTGTTGCTTGATCGTGAATCAAAAGAGAAGCCACCACCACCGTGAGGTGGTGGCTATCATCTCTGACCACCGCCGCATGCCACTGTGAAATGGTGGTTGTGTTCGTGTTTCCTAAAGTGTGTGTGTGTGTGTGTGTGTTGCGACTGTAACGTGATGGATACGTGTTTATTGGAGTTTTATTGGCCGGATTCATAAGGAGGACCACCATGGCAGCCAACCATGGTGGTTGTCGCCCTTAATGCTTTTCTGCCACCACCAGCCACCGTGTGTGGGGGGCTATGTGTGTGTATATTGGTATGTGTGCGTGTTTTCAATGATGAGATGTTGTATGAATGTGCTTGGCCGGAAAATAATCAAAGAAAACCCGTCACCACCACCATGAGGTGGTGGCTGCCACCTTCTAACGCCGTAGACCGCCGCCGACCACCACTGCCCGAGGTGGCAGTGGGTGGTGCCTGATTTATTAATATATATATATATATATATATATATATATATATATATATATATATATATATTATATATATATTTAATTAATTAACAATCTAATTTTAAGAGTGGGAAACCCTAATTAGGGTTTAGAAAACCCTAACATCAAGAAACCCTAATTTTGGAGTTGGTCGGGACCCACATTAAAACTATTAATTAAACTTAAAATAATAATTAATAATCATTTACAATTAACTTAATGCAATATTGGAATTAATGGATTAAGTCCTTAAGGGGGTTAAGTGTGGAACACTAACCCTAGTTATCATTTTATGTGAAACCCTAATCGTCATTTTATGTGAGGAGGTCACTGTGCAAGTGACTATGACCTGTGATCGGGTATTGAATCAAGTATCTTCTCGTAGGTGATTGGAAGTGAGTTGACTCTGGTAGTGTCGTTCATTTCTACAGTGGTTATCAGCACGCACATTGAGGTGAGTTTCGTCTCACTGTACCCGTGGGTCGAAGACGCCAATGCCGCCCACTAGTTTTGGTTATCTGTTAGTA